CCCCAACCTCCAGCCCCCACCTTGGCCCATACAGAAGCCGCAGGGACCAGTGCAGCACACCTGCCTGGCAGGGAACAGAGAGCCTCTTCCTTTCCCCACATGCAGTTACAGGCCTGCACACTAACCAGCTGCCATCACTTTGTTACCTTTTACAGGTAATTTGCACAGATGACCTAAGATCTAGGAGACAGGGCAAGGAGTCAAAAGGAAAAAAAAAAAGCCACAGTCTTAGGTAAAAGTAATGATTAAAATCTTTATTTGCATGGTATGCTTTTTAAGGGAATATGATCTAGTAATTTAAAAGTCAATACTGTCCAACACTTGAAAACAAATCTAGCTTCAGTAAAATCAAAAGATAACTGAGTTATTCAACATTAAATTCTCCCTCATGTAGTACACCATTCACAGCTGTAACTCAATTTCAGCTAGACTTAAAACTGACAAATTTCAAAAAGTTACATTTAGCAGGCAGATAAGATTTATTAAGTATAATATACACTCTTTACATGGGCAATTCAAAAAAAACTGACAAGATGCAAAAAAAATCCTGTCCAGTTTTCCCTCATCTTTGCTGAAAAGCTGGGTTGTACAGACGGGTAGTTGCCCCATGTGTAAGATACTGCAAGGAAAAGAGGTACAGAGACCCACCTACCAGCTTACTAAAGTTATTTCCCTCACTTCAAGCAAGATGTCCTTGCTGACCAGAATACAGTAAGTCAGACTTCAGGAGCTAGTCTGCAAAAAACCTAACCATTTCAGTTATGCAATTTTGTGCATGTTGCTAGAAGTTAATGGAAGGCAAGTTTCCTTCAGCTTCCACAAGAAAGGCTTCTTCAAATAAGTATTTCCTTTTACTCTTTGTCCCCCTCGATTAAATGCCACTTTAAATGCATCCTAAGTCCACTAGGACAGTATGTAACAAGTCTGTCTCCTCACATGTAATTAAAATTGTCTGTCATACTCAAAGCCTCCTCCATTCCAGGAGGACACAGCTGTAGGCACTGTCTCCCCTCTAAAGATACTCAGGTGGCCAAAGCATTAAGACCACAAAAGCACAGTCAGTAGTAGGTCCAACTAGACAAAGGGAGCAAGTAGAGAAAATGCCATCCTTTCACTTGTATGGCAGAACCATTCCTAGTTTAGAACAAGACTAGTCACACAAAAAAATTAAACAGAAAAAGACTGAGGGCAATATTCTTAATCACATGGTTCGATTCTTGTGAGCTAGTCATTCTTCCCTTCCTGCAGGCAGCATGTCATTGCAGAGTCTAAAAAACTAAAAAAAAAATCACAACAGGGAGAGCTAGTATGGGGCATCAGTTTGTGCAGACCCTCTGCTTTCAGAGGGCCATTCACATGCAACAGCCTGAGCTATTTGGACAACGTAGAAGTTCAGTAACCCAACGTAAAGCTAAACGAGCGACAGCTCTTCCCTCCCACCAGGCGCTTGCTGTTCTGTTTGGAAGATGTTTCGCACTCTTGCAGCTTGGCACATCGTAAGGACTGGTCCTTCATGAGGGTCTGGGCAAGACGGGCTGCTTTAAGTTCCCTGCAGGGAGAAGACAGAAGGAAGAGGAGAGGAAGGAAGCCACATCACACATTGGTCCCATCAGCTACAGAATACAGCTATAAACACTATGAAAGCAACACATCTCATGAGAGAGAGTTACTGCAGTACTCTGACACTGCTGGAGAACAGTGATGCATGGCAGCATGAACGATCATTATAGGTTTATCTTCGGTTTCTACTCCAAAAAAATATCAGCTTCGAAGGTTTACCTAGGAAACCTAGGTATCAGGTCAGCAAACACCTAGGTTGGCACCAGTATGAAGAGTCCTAAGCTTAATTTTTCCATCCGAATATCTGAAAAGATGGGAACTTAGACTAGTGCCATTTCATGCAACACATCTCTATCAGAGATTCTCATATGCTTCTTTTTAGTTGCTGATGCTCTCACTCTCCCAGAGCATACCAGCTTTCCTCCCTGCCAATGACAGTTCTTCCTACTGACTGCTGTACTAGGAGGGGTGGTGGCAGTCGCTAGCGCTTAACTCGGTCCCAGTGTCTCTGAACATTGCTGCCAACAGCCGTGAGAGGGAGCAAGGGAAAGGAGGATGTCTGATGCTCTCTCATGTTTCTCTTCCTTCTGTGCTGGACCATTAGTTCAGTATCAATTCTTCATCTGCCCAGTGGCTGCATATTGTATCCATATTTTCCTACAACTAGTGGCCACAGTAAGTGTCCAAGTTAACTGCTTTGATTTAGTCAACTCCTCAAAGCCATAACTGAACCGGAGCTCCCTTGGCATGCCAAATCCCTTGCCACAGCACTGCCACCCTTTCAGCTCCAGGCACAGGAACCAACAGTAGAGACCCCCAGCCAGAATCCCCAGTGCTGCCGCCCTGCTTTCACACCTGGTGACTGGCACTTGTCACACCTCGTCTCCACCCTTTTATGCCCAAGCAAGCACTACCTTTCCAACATGGCAGTTTTACACTTCTCCACATTTAGCTGCTTCTGGAGCTGCACAGCTTTTCCAAGCGAGGGACGGAGAACAGGGTGTTTAGTAAGAGCTGTGGCAGAAGGTCTTGCCACTGGGTCGGGATGGATCATGAGCTAGAAGGTAAAGTCCAGGATTTAACTCTCATTGCCACGTGCTCACTGTAAAAAAAAAATCTCCATCCTGTTAAGGCTTGTTTCTCACCTTCAAAAGTTCAAGAAAGCTGTGGGGGAGCTTCTGAGGGATCGGTGGGATATTGCCCTTGCGGATGTGGTGCCACATGGCACCGTTGTGAGGCAGTGGTCCTGTGCCTGCTGCTAGGGCTATTGTGAGTGCCAGGGCAAAGATGTCTGCCTTTGGCAAATAGCAGTATTGCTGTAGAGAGAAGATGGACAGTTATACAGAAGGAACTTCTTGCTGCAATGAAGAGAGGTGGGTCAGGATACCAGCTCAAAAAGAAAAAGCCAGACAAGTACATATATGACACTGCCTTCACCATCCAAGTAATTTCCTTTAGAATAAAAATATTGACCATTTAAGTAGCATTGTTAGCATCTCTTTGCACTAATAGCACATATTACCATTTTCCCAGACATAAGGAGGTTGCACCTCTGTTAGAAATACAGCAGCAAACCCAGGGGACAGCCTAACAAATATAGGCCTCTAACCCTCACTGCAACTCAGCAAACTAGGCACATTCAGCTTAGGCTAAGACTGCACGTGCTTATGTTGACCTAACATTTATTTCCTAATCTATTTGCAGCACAATGTATCTTGAGGGTTCAGCACCTGAACTGGTGAGCGCATCCCCAAGCTGCTTGTTCCATGCTGAGGCCCTTTTTCTTCAGTCGCCTAAGTGGCAAAGCTACAGTCAGTTTAAGAATAGAGCTTATGAGGACTTAAGTAGTTTCCAGCTGTGCCTGCCGTCTCTTTACAGTACCCTAAACAGTGTTTGTCTAGATAGGCGTATTCCTCAGTGGTCACATCCAGCAGTTCCATCTCAGCTGGATAATTAAAATGAAAGGGAACCACCAAACTGATAAAGCTTTTCTTCCATTCATCCCCTACAAGGGAAATAGCTGCAATAACCCAATGATGAGGTTAGTTATGAGGTATGATAAATATTTACTGGACAGAGTCTACCCTTCATTAAGTAAAGGGCTGCTGATCTCTCCAATTTCACAGCCAGACTGGACACGAGAGAGAAGCCATGAGAAAAGGAATATGGCAGACTAATGATTTTACTATAGCTGGTCTTTCTCCACTTGCACACCACCCCACCAGTAGCTGTACCTCTTGTAAAATCTCATTGGCCAAAAACCGGCTGTCTCCTTCCTCGACTTGGGGATTTGTTATTGATGTCACATGGCCAAGGTCACCTAAGAGAAATAGTGACTGATCAACCAGACTGACATAGATCTCCATCAATAACAGCCTGCTCTTTAAAGGCAAAGATAGAGCAGTCAGGCTATAAACCACTGAGGCAAGCCCACCTCTTCTCACGTATCTGGGCTTGGAAGACAAGGATATGACCTTTCTATGACTTACCTCTTTAGATAGAGATTAATTTTGATTAGCACCAAGGCATTCAAAACCATGCTATCAGTTCTACATGCAAATAGCATCTCTTTAGCCAGCAGGACAGAGCTGTATCAAACAGTAATGAGAAGCTCCAATTTAAGCCAGTTGTAAAGCCAGGTAAAACCTACCAATCTTATACACCACACTAGAAGAGAATTCATCTTCACTGTCACTCTCTTCCTGCCCAGCAGGGCCCTCAACTGCCAGTTTGTGACAAATGAAGATATTACCTGCAAGACAAAGTTCAGCAATTGTGTGATTTGAATAAACTGATTAGAGCAGCCTGGCAACTTGCTAAAGATCCCATCTCTGTCAGCCAAGCTAGCTTAAGCTTCACAACCACAGACATTATGCACGGGCTTCCGGCCCACCAGTCTTTCTACATGAATTAGATTTTCAGCAATATATCGAATAAAAGATAGTTGTGTCTTACGCATAAAATATCCCAGTATAATCAACATCTCTGCCCCACCCTCTGCTCTCCAAGCTAGAAGCACAATTCACCAGGAAAGAGGTTGGATGTGACTGTGGGGAGAATATTGCAATTCAGGTGCCCATCTTCAGCCACACAGAGAGGAAAGCTTGTTACTACTCTGAAGAAAGTTAATCCCTCAGGGTAGATACAGAGGAAGTAAATATTCCCTTTTTGCTTCAGCTTGACCTTTGCAAAGGTCAAATGGTGTGCAACAAGACAGTAACAAATAAGGAAGTCCCTGTCTTCATTAGCAGCCCTATTGCCCTACTGGTGTGAAAGTGATTGTTCCCATGAATCAAGATTACAAAGGTCATGAAACAGAAGTAAAACTCTGCCAATTATAGAAGAAGGTTCCGTTTTAGAGCAACAGTGGTGGCAAGAAACAGAAGATACATTCACCTTTTAAGACAACTCTCTCTCCTTTAAAGCAATGTAACAGTTCCAGCCAGTTAGAGAGGTCACTGGGCATAGAAAGGGCAGCACTTGGAGGGCAAAAGAGAAGAGACCTATACCTACTCGGTTTGATATCCAGGTGCACAAGGCCAGAGTTGTGGATATATTTTAATCCCATGGAGACTTGTAACAAGATTTCTTTCAGCTCTGCTTCTGGGAAATACTGTCCAAGCTTTGCGTTTTCCAGCAGCACATCTTGGAGACTCCCACCTAAGAGGAGGCAGTCAGTCTCAAATCTCACAAATTTTATAGACCAACGTGTTTGGAAGAGTTTAGTAGAACTTCTTATCGCCCAGCGCACAAATGGACTTATTAGTGACAGACTCAGACCAGACTAGCCATACATGCTCTAGTGATCATGCTCGATATCATCATTTTTCCTTCAGGTTTTTCCATTGCCTAGAAGCACTCTACCTTCTGCCTGCCAAAGACTAAGTGACTGCAGTGCCACTCACAGCACGGAAAAGGCTGACATAGTAGCAATGTTGCTGCTATTGCAAGCAGAAAAAGTTCATTACTTTTGCCATCCTTACAGGCAGGAGGCAGGTTTATGAACGGTGGAGAAAGGAAAGTAAGCTTCCACTAGCAGATTTGTGGTTGAATAATGTTACGTTTGACACGGAAGCAGAGAAGTTTTGCTGTTTCAAAAACAGGAAATACCCTGGCCTTTCTCTCCCCAGCCTTCTCTGTACCACCTCTCCTTTATTTTCAGGTGTTCATCCACCAGATCACAAGAGGTGCCTCACTACAGCAATGATCACCATGTTTCATAGTTACCTCCACCAGATTTAAGTCATTACTCCAAACAGCTATCACCACTCATCACTGAACCCCCAGACTTGAGGGGCAATTGAGTGAGCAGAACAGAATGTTTGCAATCAGCTCCTACAGTAGCCGTGTCCCCCAACCAGTGGTACGGCCAGGAGCAAACCCAAGTTGGAATATACCACCCTGCCTGGAACACCAATGGACAGTTCACCCCATTATTTTTCTTTGCTCTTCTGCATTTCTTGAGCCCTCACTTCCAACCAACAGGAATGTGAGATGCAAAGCATCTTCATCTCAGCCAAGAAGTCTCTCTTCAAATCATTCCTCGCTTCGATTTAAAAGTGTTCATTTCCAAAGTACATTGCACTTAGATTAGCTTCTCCTGAATTACTTGCCCTCATAACACCAGGCTTCACCTGGGCAGTCTCAGAGGCAGCTCAGCATTAGCATGGAGACTGCTTTTCCAGGTCAACCAACACAGAGGAACTGTTCTAAGAACCCCACAAATAAGAGGGCATTCACTACCTGCAAGACGTTGGCACCATTCAGAGCTTCATCTAAAAGCCGAGAGCCATTACTGGATTCCCCATGAAACTTGAACCCAAGTGCGGTTTGCTTCATCAGAAATCAAAGCCTCCCTTGTTTAAGTACAAACAAAGATAGCTGCACCCGTCCCAACATCTCAAACAAGGCTGCAGCTCTTACCATTGCAGTGTTCATTTTGGATAATCATGTGATCATCCTCTGCCCACGCTGAGTAGTAGCGCACGACATGGGGGTGATGTCCAAGGACAGCGTGAGCGTAAACCTCACGCAGGGCCAGCTGCCTGGAGAAACAAGCACAGGGAGAGCAGTGGTGACAGGGGGTCATAGCCCTGCCTGGGACTGAACATAACCGTGGTTTATAGCCTGGCTTAGGAAAGAGAAAACAGAGGTGTTCATGAGTCCCACACCAGACTTGCTAAGCAGCTGTCAAAATCACTGAGTAAACCTTTGTTCAGGAGACAAAGGCAGCTTCAAAGACTATGTCAGCATGTCAGCACTTGGGACACAACAGTAGCTGGGCAATATAAATGCATGCGGTCCTGGCTGTGCAGCAGGGCAGGAACACCATAGATAATATGCTCGGCAGCTATTACTTTAAAACAAGCTGGCTGCATGGGTCTGAGGAGTCCAGGTAAACAGTCACATCACTTTTGCAATGGATGCAACTCCTTCTCTTCTTCAGGCATTTATATTCAATAGTCCTGGAGTGATAACTTTCTCCACCCTCCCAAGTGTTATTTGGGGAGTAACAGCAACCAGTTTTACTCAGATACCTTTAGACCCACGCTCCATCCTTCCCCATCACACCTCCCAAGAACATGCCCATCATTTCCACCTGCAGTTTCCAGCTAGCACACTCACTCATCCGAGGATCCTGCCAGAGGCCTCTTGGAGCGTTTGATGGCATAAACGCATCCATCAAGGCGTTTGATGCACTTGTAGACAGAGCCAAATTCCCCTACACCAATTTTTTCCAATTCCAGGAACTCCTTCTTGTAGCGGGAAACCATATTGCTCTCTTTCAGAGGATATCTCTAGAAGGTCACATCAGAAGCAGAGATAGGAGTATGAGTTTAAAGACTCAAATAAAATCTGTCATTCCTCTAGAGCTGTGCAGCATTTGCCCACACAGGACACTCATTTTGGTCCCTCTCCTGTTCTAGATTTATTCATCCATGCACACATGCAGATACGCTGCCTGTCTGAAACACGACTTTCCACTTAGGGATGCTGTGCTCTTTCTGGTCACCTGTCAAAGGCCAAGGAGAAGAGGAAAAAAAACCAAGATGGATTTATGGTTTTGTTTGTTTCTTTAAACATGGCTCACTAGCCATAGAGTTAGGAATTGCAGCAGCTAAGGAGTAGGGAATTGGCTTCTAGCTGGCTGTATGCATGTAAACCTCCCTGGGCTACCACCATCACATCTCTTTGCAGCCCACCCAATTCCCAGACCCATGGCTGAGGGAGTCAGAGCAAAACAGCAGAGAACAAAAAATGGTCTTCTATCTAGCCATAGAAAAAGGCCTATCACTAGGCTTGATTTGCAAGAGTCCTGCACCCCTGAACTGTTCAGCTCTCGCTCTCCACAGCAGGGTTTACAGGCAGAAGGGTTAATTGCAGCAAATGAGACAGCTGGGGAAAGTTTGGAGAGCTGCATGCTCATGCAGTGGAAATCACAAAGGAGGGAGAAGGAAACAGCGCCCATCACTACACATTGTATTTCATAAGACTGCATTTTATAGCATCTTAAAAGCTCCCAAAACATTTTGAGCATTAACCAGACTCTTATACTGAGCTGAGGTTTAAATAAGAACTATTGCATCTTCTGAGCTCGTGAGAGAAGCTTGGTACCTTAGCTTAATGTGGCCCCAGCTACGTAAGAGTTGCCTCCTGGCAGCTAGAGTTGCCAGCAGCAGGTGTAGTCTGCACTGGTTCAAGCTCTGGTCTGAAGCACTGGCTGTTGACTAACAGCAGATCAGCTGGCCTCAGTGTATCTATTTGTATTCCCAGCTGTTTCCTCGCTCTGTGGGTGCTGCTTTTCACAGAAATGGCTAAGAGCCTGCAGCACAGCTGGAAGAATATTGCTACAGTAACAGTCACTGAGGAAATAGGAGGTGCTGGTACACCTGTGGAGGGATGTCTACTGGCAGGGCAGATGGGTAAAAAAGTTAAATAAGCGACCAGACAAGCAACGGAGCATGAAGTGGACAGCACAAAAACGCATTAAGTGACTTCCCTTCATCCTCCCATCACTTGCAATGATGGAGACTCACATTACACAGTGGTTTCCAGATAAACTATGTGGTATGGTTGCTGGTGGAACTGTATGCGAGTTTAAAGGGAGTGAGGAAAGAGCTGGCCCTCACAGCCAGCGAGATACAGCCTACATGGAAGAGCAGCCCATCACAACACATTGCACTTCATAAGATGGCTATATCTTACAGCATCTTAAGAGCTCTCAGGGAATAAAGACACTAACTGCTAGCAGTTGCTCTCATACCTGTGAGCAGTAATACTCACTCATTAAACAATTACTCACCCAGAAAGAGCACTGTCTTGGTATCAGCAGTGAACCAGAAATATGAAATCACAAGTTATTTGAGGCTTTCTTCTAAAGAAAAGAGTAACTGCGGTAGTCCCAGATATCACATGGCAACAGGTATACTATGCAGCTGTAGTTCCTTTCAAGACACTGGTTTCACTGCAGTATTGGTCTTCACAGCTAGAGGGTACTACTATTCTTCCAGTAAATCTAAATATATTAGAATTACAATGTACAAACAATTCTACCTACCTGCTCTGAGATAGGGAAATATTTACCTCAAGGGGCTGCAAGGGAAAAATTGAGATTTCTGCCTCATCTGAATACAGATACTTAATTCAGCTTAGCTTGGCTTGCTTTCCAGAAGCCAGCTGGATTGGTAGCTACCTCCAGATAAACTTGAGAGGTGGATGGGAGGCCATGAAGTGCTGGTGGGCTGCAGGGCCAATGAAGGGTGCATGAAGCCACCCACACAGGCCATGAGGGACCACACAGCCTTGCCAACATGGCCTGGCACTGAGTTTTGCCAGCAAAGTGCAAAACTGACAACAGCAGAAGAATTCAGTTTTGTGCTGCAAGATAGCGTTTGCTGCCCTGTAGCTACATCAGCTGCAGCAGCGTCTTCTCTTGGACCCCAAGACACATGCACACTCCAGCCAGGCAGCAAGCCCAGGGCAAAAGGAAGGCCAATTCCTCCCACGCACCTTTACCACGGGAGAAGAGCGAAAGGCCAGCCATGATGAGCAACCACGGCACACCAAGCTGCTCTTCCTGCTTTGCCAGCTGAACATCCCTGTAGAGCTAGATGATTAGTCCATCACAGCTGGCTCCATTAGACACTAGATTATTCACCTGTCAGGAGCTTGATTTTCAGCTGGTGAAAAGCAGCATTCTTCAAACCTGCTGCAGGAAAGTCAGCAGCTACTCTCAGGTATGGGCAGTATTTACTTACACACTCTCACTGCTCTCAGCTGCATGCGAAAGCCGAGCTCTCCTCACTTCTCCTGGTCTCACAGCAGTACCTTAGTACTCTGTACCTCAGTTTATGCACACAACTGTTGTTGAAGAGAGTCAAGACGATCAAGTAGAGTGCAGTACTATTCAAAGTTTTCTAAAGAAATCAGAAGCATCTTCTTTGTTCACCTGCCAAAACCTACAGGAAAAGACTGTTTTCTCTGCTCAAGGAGAAGAAAGAATTTGCTGCCTCATTTCAGAAGTTAACCATCGTGACCTCTACAACTGAAACTCAGCTCTTGGGATTTATCCTTATGAGTGCCATTCATTTCAGTATTAGTGCTTTTTGCAATGTGGGTCTATGTATTATTTGCAATAGAGAAGCCATGTTCCACTCACATCCAGGGATGCTCAGTACGCTGATTAATAGGAATAGCAATACATCTGCTTTTTCCAATCAGAAAGACACTGTCACTGTTTACAATAATTCTATCACTTCCCCCTTGAAAACCTGAATTATGTTGTCTTTCTATGAAAGACCTTCTGGCCAAAATAGATGAGTTTTAGGATTAATTGTCAAAGCCTCAGATCTGCTACCCAAGTTTGTTGACTCAAACAAATGAGAACCTAAAGCGTTCAAGCCTGGAATTATTCCATCTCATTTCTTTGATTTCTTCCTGCCTAATATAGGTGTTCATCCTCTGTCATGATGCCATGATTTAAACTCCAATAGCAGAATAAATTTAATCAAGCACCAAATCTTTGCAGGGAAGTTATACTCTGTGGAGAGTTATGCAGGGACACTCACCTTGGTAGGTAGCTCCTGTTTTAGTTGGCTTCTTGGATCAGGTTCCCTCCTAAAACAGAGGTTTAGGAAAGTGTGGATGTACTGCTTGAATACAGCAATCCAACTGAGATTTGATACGAAAACATTTTTCAAAAGAATCATCAGAACTCGCTTTACAGTTTAACAAGACATGTATTTTATAGAGGACTAGTACACAAGGAGTTTCTAATTAAGGCCTCAAGTAATGTAGTCCCAGGATAGGAAGTCTTTGTTCCCATTTAGAAAGCCTCCACATACCAGCTTTCATAGTGTCCACGGGGGTGTTATTTGGCAGCACTTTTCTGCTCACCATCTCATTCCTGGGGAGGCTATGTGGCAGATGGCCTCACATATCCAGCTCCTAGTGACAGAGAGAGCTCTGCCGCCATGCTTTAGAGAGGAATACCCAGGGTGAAAGTCTGTCCTGTAACACTTTGGGGCTCTGAGAGAAGCTGGACTTCATTATAGCATTCACATACCCAACTGTGAATTTGGGTCTCGGTTACCCCAGACCAGAGCCTTTGCAGGTCAGCGATAGCTTGTACCTCTTATGAACTAGGTTACATAGAAACATGCAAGTCTTTGAGTTGTGACTATGTGCATAACTGAACCAAACTCCACTTCAGACCTTTCTTTCCCAACCAGTATGGGTGTTTTATCTCCCACAGTGATAGCATTGAGGTTAACCGTTGAGCCCCCACTTACACTTCCTGAACAAAGGAAACAAAGCATTTCATTCACGTTTGTTCTGTTACCTTCACATGTCTGCAGATGTTTGCTCTGCACCAACAAATACCACTGAAATGAACCAACTCATTCTTAGTAAATAAGTCTAGGAACTAAATGTCTCTCTCATTAGTCATCTTCTTTAGACAGACTCCTTCCCATCCATTATTTGTGAGTTCACTTACTGCTCTCCTCTGGCCTTCCGCTTGCCATTAGGAAGAAAGAGCATTTGTCGGTACGACTCTGGTGTAAAGGGGTTAATGTTGACAAGAGAAGCTTGGGTAGAATCATCTGAGTCAGCACCAGGAGTAAATCTCAAATGTCGAAAGCCTTTGGGTGGGATCTTTGTCCCAGACGAAGGAAAAGCTGTCTTTGATAGAAGACTCTGTATTAAGAAAAAAAAAAAAAAGAAGTGGTAGATAAGCCAGTAAAATGTTTTTATTGCTGCTATACTAGAACAGAATCTCTACCCTGTTGCAAATAGGGAAAAATACATTGTCGAGGAGAATTCAAGTCCTTTTCTCAGGATAGCTGAAGCATCCATTAAAACACTGCAGCCCTAATTTAGTCCCAACAATTTGCTACTCCTTCCACAAAGTGTTAAGTTATTCACTAAGCCCTTTCACACTCTCCTTCCCCTGCTCGTTTGGGTGAGGCTTGCAGAGCTTTTTCTAAAAGAAGTCAGGAGGAGCCAGCTGCTCCTCTTGCCCACTGACAGAGCCACAGGCATTGCACCATTAGTTGCATTAACATAGAAGATTCAGCTCCATTAAGCCGGAGCTGTCACATCAGCTTGGTGAGGACAGTTTTGTCAGGAGAATGAGATGGGACATGACTTAGAGTTCCCTTTTGTTTTCCCAGCAATAAGCAGCATTAGCAGAGGAGAAGTTGGTAGAAGCATCTTGGTATGGTTATTGGCAAAGCGGCCATAAAACAGTTCTCCTTGAAAAAGGGAGAGAAACTTTAGTTTCAATAATTAAGATCAGAGGGAACCTCTAGATCTGCTAGTCCAACTTCCTGCAGAAGATGAGCCACTGGATTTCACTTACTAGTTCCAAACCCTGACCTGGGTAAACTGAGGCTTCAGAGAAGGAACTAGTCTCTATCTGAAGATGGAAAATCTACTTACTTCCTATGATGGTTTAATCCCTTTAGTCAGCTCTATGAAATACAAGTCTGCTTTTCCAGTTTGCATTTGACTTGTTGCAAAGTGGTAGGATAGGGTTTAACAGGGTTTTTAAATATACTACTATCTTCTAGTTAAAAGTCCTTCTCAAACTCAAGATTTTCCTTCCCAAGAAGGTCCTTTCACACTGATCAAGGTAACTGTTCAGCCAAAAAGATATAGGGGTATCTGACTCTCACCAGATCATATTTGGGATTCCCCTCTCCACTTCAAGTTACTGAAGTTTCCGGAAGAAAAAAAAATACAGATGACAGCTGCATCCAGTATCCATCCAGTTGATGCTGCGCTTAGGGATGTATTTACTCCTGGGACACCCCCATTTCAATACCATACAGAAGAGTTCAGCCACTGGGTTACTACGACCAAGGCAAACTTATCCAGCAGTCCAGAAGCTCTTTAGAACTGTGGCTATGTCCCAGGCTAGCCACAAGTCAAGAAGGAAATGTAAAATATAATTGTAGCTTTCCATTACATGTCCAATTCCCACCTGCTCTGCTAGAGCTCTGCTTCATAACAGGACAGATTTTGCTCTCATCTGAGCAATGTCAGCTGGGAGTAGTTGCGGGTGTACGGTATAAGCAAGGCAGCTACCATAACTAGCTCTAGCAATTTTTTTCCAAGACTGAAAAGGTCTACAAAACATAATCACCTGCCTGCTCTGCCACACATTCTAGCTGGGGCTCCAGTGTTCATCTGTGCACAGTTAGATGTGGCTCTACTCTCTCTAATTTTCTCATCTTCAGATGTTCCAAGATGAACATTCCCAGTCATTATTACAAGCAGATTTAGACCCTTTAGAGCCTGCCTTTTGCTGGCTGCTGGGGAAACAAGACCTTTCTCTCAGAAGACGGGAAAGGAAAGTTGTCTGATTTAATGCAATTGCTGCCTATAGACTGCAAGGTGTCCGCAGCAGTTACCCAGACAGCATGTCCTGAAGCATCCAACCAACATGCAAACTACAGGTGAACACATACTAAAAGCACCCTGTGCTACCATGAGCCTATCTGATCTGGAAGGAGGTTCTAGATACATCGCCTATTTGATATGAGATTCAGGATGATTTCTTATGAAGGGTGGCTGCAGAAAATTCCTGGAGCAATGCCTTTGAGAGCCACTTTCCTCTCGAGATGGGTGTGCCATTCCTCAGTAGCTATGCTCCACATCACCAGGTTTCTGAATGGGGACAGAAACAAAAACCCTTTGATAGCAGCTAGTCACTAGATGCCCTGACCCAGGAGAAAAGCCAAATCCTAGCCTACAAGAGGTACTAAAGGGACTGATCTCCTCCCGCGTGCCACTTCGGCAAAGGAGCAACCAGTCTATTACTACAGCAGAAATATTGGGAGAGGGCCCCCCCAAAAAGCTACATTTCATTCCAATTCTTGAATGCATACACAACACAAGTTACCTAGGAACAGAGAAGTTGGCTCCAAGTCTCACTTGTGCTTACAGAAGATACCAGTTGTGTTATACTCATACCAGAAGTTTCTCAAGAAATAGTGGCTTGTACTACTCTTCCAAGAAGCTAGCTTAAGTAGGTAATAACTAGGTTTTATGACAGTGATGTAGAAGAAGACATACTAGTCTTCCTTCATTTGCACACACTGATTTGTTACTCCTTCCACAGAGGTTTTGTTACTGTAAGAATAGAGTCCTAACTTCCTCAGATTCACTGAGCAGCTCAGTTTCATTTAAAGAGAGAATCAGCATCACTAAACAAGTTAGTTGGAAGTGTTCTGGATTTGACAGAGAACAGGAGTATGCCCCAGCAACGTTTCCATTTCTAATTAACTTTTTCAAAGAGAAAACCCACTTATATCCAAAACGGGCTGAGCAGAGCAGGCAGTTGGTGCAGCTGCCTGTGGCCCCTGGGGTGAGGGGCTCCACAGAGGGGGATGCATTTATCCCTCTGCAACCACAGTGCACAGCTCCTACAGAGATGATGTCGAAGTTGAGCCCCCTAAGTAGAGGGTGAGCAACACACGAGATACAGATAAGGCCCAGGTCCTTCAGTCAAACCTATCTACTGCCAAGGAATTGTTGTTAACAGCTTGGAAAGAATCGAAACATTTGCTCCCACTCATAGGTTTCAAGCTATGAATCACAGTTCCACAGTGAAGGTGCCTGTAGTCCATATCTTTAACAAACAGAATGAGGGAAGAGGAACAGACTAACAAAGGTAAGACTCAAAGAATACTTTCCACAGAGTTAGTAACAAAGACCACTCATCATCCACACAGCAACACCTCAGCAATGCCACAGACTTGGCTTCTGTGGACTCAGAGGTACATCCCATTACCTTGGGAGTGTGTGGGGTGTCACAGAGCTGCAGCTTTTTCCAGGTGATGTGCAGTGGTGTCTCAGCATTACAATGGCTCTTGGTCACAGACGGTGAAGACTTCAGGGCAGGACTCACCCAAGCTTTAGTCCTGCTGAGAAAAATCTCACTGAGTTTCCTCTGAGGGGTTACTGGGAGAGGACTGCTCCCACGCCACTTCTGGAACTCGCAGCTCTTCAGAGGGCTCGAGCTCAGGGTGTCCTCTTCTTGGATGCTTCTGTCTTCGCTTTCTTCTCCGCAACTGGAGAAGTCCAGTCTCTGGATAAATTCATCGCTGTTGTCCCAGTCATCCATTATACCATAGGAAAGCTGACAGTTATAGCCGATACTGGCCTGTTTTGTTAGGGGGAGAAGAGGATAGCGTTATTTACACAGGCAGACTAACTGCCCTCTTCCTTGCCCTATCAAGGTTATTAACTCTGCTCAACAGAGCCATTCACCCACCTTATCCCACGTACACAGAAGCCTAGATCACTCATAGCTATCATTTGATTAAACAGATTAAGGAAAAGTGCAAAATACAAATCCATTCAACTACTGTTTATGTAACAAGAACAGATTCTGCTTTTCACTTTAGTGGTGTAAAGCAGGTACAACTCAGAAGTTGCTATCTTTCACAGCAAACCTGCAAGGGAACCTCCCCTCCACCCACCAGTGCTCCATCCACTCCTCAGGTAGGAGCTGAATTAGCAAATCTTACTGAACAAGACATGTCAGTCCTCCCATCAATCTTTTCTAAAAGTCCTTAGCCAGAGAAAAATAACACATGCTACTTACACCTGTAAAAGCAGAGGGACCCCAGATGGTTACCAGATACCTTACAGACACTCCTTTTTCCATCCCCCTAGCACATTTATAACTACCCCATACAGCTGGGCCATTGCTGAGAGGTGCTCAGCAACACCTGGGGACAATTGCTTGTGCCTAGGAAAGTTGGCAGCTGCAGTTTTTCTATGGATCTGGATTTGCTCTGCTTGTAAACAGCTCTGCAGAACTGCCAGGGTTCCCTGTGAGTCATCCCTTGCTTCTGCACTCCCTTGCCTCCTCCAGCTTCCCAGCACCCATGGGGAGTTATGTTTGCTGACAGCCAGTCTGCTTCACATTAATGCCATCAGTGATGCAGTTTAGGCTTTATATATAGGCTTTACCTGTACGAAACATTAGTCTTCTGGTTACAGGACCTAATGTTCCCTTGGGTGCTACTTTGCACGAGTATTGCAGCCTGCATGGGGAAGTTCCGTCGCCTCATTTATAATGCATTAGACTTCAGGAGAGGAGTTAGGGAACACATACAGGTCTCCATACGGGTAGGGGAGAAGGCGGCTCCTGTCTGTAGGGTCCAAATGACTGTGCTGGTAGAGGCAGGAGAAGCCTGTTGGGTCCAAGGCTGCAACGTGTGCAGTCTGCCCCCACCGGCGGGATTGCCCGCAGCTCACCAGGAGCAGGACAATGGCTCTTCTCTTTGCACTTCTCTGCAAAAACCAAGGCTCTTTTTGTGCCTTTGTGAGTGTGCATTTTGAAGAGAAGCTAGAATGACTTTTAATGAACTAAGAACTAGGTCTCAATAGCCTGTTTTTCTTAGCATTGAGGAGAGTTGCTAGAGGACATATACAGACTTTAGTGCTCTCAGTCCAGAACAGACGAGGATTTGTCAGAATCAGCGTGTGCTTTCCGGTGCACAAGCTGAGAGGAGCTCTCATCAGAAAAGAAAGGGTCAGGTCGGTTTGTGCTCACTCAGCCCTCATAACCTGGTCTAATTTTTAATTAAAAGCATGGCCGTTTGGGTCCTTTTAGTTGCCCCATTAAGACTGTGACTGGGAACTGACTTCATACAGGCCACCAAAGAGGTATCAGTAGGTAACGCCAGCACTCGGTCAGGTTTCTACTGCTTGTGTCTGGCCCAGAAGTTGTGAACTTTCTGTCTAGGCACAGAGCCTGTCACCGCCATCCAGACTATCTCATGACGTGACTCCTGTCCTGCACCTTGCCTGGAGTGAGACCTAAGACCCCGCGAGTGCCAGAGCTAGCTGCTTTCTGTTAGGAAAGGGCAAGCCTGCAAGGGAATCTCTGGGGGAGGATTTGGGGACTTGCATTTTGCCCTCATCTGAAGCCATCTAAAACTTGCTGCTTTCTGAACACGCCACAGAAGTTTTGTATGTGGGAAGACTGAGGGTGCGCTTGCACAAGACTGCGAGGACGAAGACCCCGGTAGGGTCTGGCCAGTTGGGATCCTGTGAAATGACCACTTAAATACTGCTGTGATTTGACTGTATTAGTCATGTGTTGGATAATTGGAATGTTAGAGAGTAATATTTTCTTTTAAATCTAACGAATACTATTTTTAGTCCCCGTAACTGCATGTCAGTTAATAATCCAGAGATGAAACTCCTTCATACCTCAGTTTTTAGTCCCCTCTCAAACCTTTGTTGGACCTCTTTTGTTCTCAGGCAAACATTTTTATAAGGAGGAATGTGCTGCATAAAGGAAAGAAGTTGGACTTACTGAGTAAAGAAGACCCAGTTTGTTTATCTTGCCTCTTCTAACTAAAACCCACCACATTTGCACTTTTCATAATTTCCAGAGGACTACTCAAAGATCTGGAGACAATTTTGTTAGCCTTCAGTTAGAGAAAAATTTGTTCAGTTTCTTTTGAAGGAGAGATTTTTATCCTAAAAGGGCCAAATTATATCTTTTTTTTTTTTTGCTAAAATTTTGGTAAAACAAGAAAGTAGAGTATGTGGCCTTTAGTTTTAAACTTCACATGTATCTAGAAAACTCTGTGCTCTTAGCAGGCCCAGCTTTCTGGCCTTAGTGGTTTAAATAGTTCTGGTGCCACCAAGTCTCTTGTCCTATGAGTTTTTCACCAAAAGCAGAGGAGTCACAGGGTACTGACATTTCATACATCTCCAAGCTAGAAAAAAAATATATTTTCAGGTATTCACTTCTCTTGCCAACTGTCAAGCACAGGCTCCAGTTTGTGCATGGGAGTAGTCCTGCTGATGCTTGACACAGGGGTCTGTCAGTAGCGTAGGCAGCCTCTGCCCCTGCCTCGTGCTGGGACAACTGGTAGTGGGCTTGCACAGCGAAGTGGACGAGAACTGCTCTGTGCCAAAAATAGCTTCGTGGGTAGGGGAGGAATTTATAATCAGGATTCGTTCCCCTGCCTGGATCGCTGCGGGGACACACTGACATTTGTGCCAGCACCACTGCAGGGATGACGGAGAGGGGAGAAATGAGCTGTCACTTTAGCATCACTAGCATGCAAAAAAATGTTCATCAAAATGTAGCTTGACACTGTCTATATGGTCGAAGTGAAGCACGTGGCTAAATATTTGCAGAATCTAGCTATTCTTTATAGCTCTTTATACAGTAACGAACCATTGCACAGGGCTTTTCTCTTTACCAGTCACCTTCCATGAAAAGCTCCATCTGCTAAACACCACTTACTGCAATTTATAGCTTTGCTAAGTAAACTTGAGTATGAGTTTTGTGAAACAAAATGCCTACTCAGTATTGGAGCCATCTGAAATGAAGTTCACAGCAAATGGACACTAACTTTATGAAAAAAAAAAAGAAAAAGCCCACTGTTAGTGAAACTGGATCATGAGATTCTTAACGGTGTATTGAACACTCTGATCTGCTCAATAGGAAAAAAGTTAGACAATTAAGGCTTTTATGACAGTACCTTCCCTTTCATTGTGGCCAGCTTAATTGGGTAATCCAATTAATCAGAAAGTCCTAGGGAACTGATTTAAACCTAATGATACTTAATGACATTGGTGGTAGCTTAATGAGGATGGTAATTACACTAAACTTGGCTGCCTGCGGATGCCTTGGTGGTACTTATGTCTTCGTCTTTCAAGCTGATGTCTTCTCAAGCTGATTCTGACTGTTCCTCTGAAAACTGTGTCACATCCTTCTACAGCACAAATGCACACCTGCGCATACCAGATCAGCATCGCTGACTCCCCAGAATTTTGGCTTGCAGCCTCCACCACGGCGAGTGGGGCTGAGGGCCATGGCTGCCATCCCGGCGCTGACTCTGTTCCTCTGAAAACGTTGCTTCTGCTGAACTCCCTGGGCTGATCCAGTAGGACGTGTTCAACAGAGCTCCCTAGACATTAGTGTTTCTTCTTGAAAAGGCCGCTTTTTTAAATTAGGAACTCGGGCTGATTTGGATGAGAGGTCCCAGCAAGGCTTTTAGGTTCTTTCCGTAAGGGATTATAGAGGTGGATGCATGAAAGCAGAGACGTTAAGCGCCTCGGGAACCCTGCATTTTCTCATGCTCCTGTGAGGAACCGGCATCAGAAAAACTGAGAACTTATGGGCTGTGGACCCTTCGACGAAACCTAGCCTGATTACCTGGGTGCTTCAATTATTAAATAATAATAGTAAAAATAATAATAATTGTGTTTCTACTTTTATTTTATTAAACAACGCTACCCCTTCCTGTAACAACCCGCGGGATCGGCACTGCAGCAGCGGTCGCCGCCGGGGCACGGCCAGCAAAGGGTTACCTCCCCGCCCAGCTGCGCGTTCCCAACC